ACTATGCTTTGCTACAAAGATATGACTCATAAATTTTTTTTCCACGGTGCGTCTTATTAGTAAACAATGCACTTGACATGGTTAGCAAGCAAGTCGAAGAAGAAATCACAGGTTTTCCTAGTGCAATGGAGCCTATCAATGTTCCTACAAATGATTCGCCCCAATTAATTTCTTTGAGCACTGACAAGCCTAAAGAAAAAGGACATTGAAACTAAAACCTCAAGGCGCCAAAGAAATTGGCTTGACAAAAACGTAAATTTGCAAAGAAGGGAGGTAAGGAAAAGGAAAATGGTTCAAAGGTAAGTGATAACACAAAATACATTTGATTCTCTTTCAAACATGTTCAATAAGAAAATATATTCAGTTTTTTTTTTTTTTACTTGAAGGAACAAGAAACGCAAAGAAGGGAGGTAAGAAAAAGGAAAATGGTTCAAAGGAACAACAAACTGTAGAAGAAGGAGGTAAAAAAAAAGAAAAGAAGGAGCAAGACAAGAAGCTGTACTGCATGCAAAATATTTCTCCAAGTATTTCTTTGCCCATGGAAGAAATGTCCGAATAATTACATGGCTATCAATACATTCTCTCGAATCATCGACGGTAATATTTCAAACTATTACACCATTCTACTAAAACATACATGGCCGTCAATACATTCTCTCAAATGTTCTCAACCTTTTTATTTTGCGGAGGGAGATCCACAGATGATGTTAGCCGATTTCTAGTAGCATGGACATTTGTTTAATCTGAATATATTTTTTAAATCATTGCTTCTGAAACATAGATTGTTTAGGAGAGTAGCTTTTGAAGAATAGCCTCATGAAATATTTGTCATTGAAGTGTAAGTTCAGAACTGCATCTCTCCGAACAACAGGCGTCAAGTGCATCTCTCGAACCTACATTGTGGAATTGCATCTGTGAAAAGAGAGCCTTTTGTTCATCAAACTTGCAACAATCAGCATTACAATTCCAGGACAATTTGCAACACAATGGAAAGCTATACAATTTGCATGATTTGTTGCCTCGATACAATCACAAGTTACAAAGATACTAGCTCTTGCACAAATGTCAATTTAGAGGCAAGCTAGCAATAGAAATTAGAAAGGGGAAAAAAGCAGTGGAACAGCACCCCTTAGCTTGGTGAGGGTCACACTCGAAGGTGTCAGTCGTCACAAGGTGGGTTTACGTTAATTAACGCGGGCCTCCTGGGCGGAGAGCAGGGACGGGGACGGGGACTAAGCAGCGTCAGCAGCAGTAGCGGGAAAAAAAAACAGAGAAAGAAATTGGCGCAGGATAAAACAACGAGATCTGGGAGAGCTGTCGGTGGACTGCTGTCGGTGGCGGATTCCTTGGCGGGCCCCGCCTTACACTTTTGCGTATCCATCGATCGGGACTCGTGTCGTCAGACGATCACGTGGTTCATTGGTTGACGATCTCGTTCCGGCGGGAGCAGGACGGGACGGGACTTAACCAGCGGCTCCACAGTACTAGTAAAACAAAGAAATTGGCGCAGGAATAAACAACGAGATTTGGGAGAGCTGTCGGTGGACTGCTGTCGGTGGCGGATTCCTTGGCGGGCCCCGCCTGCATTTGCGCGCCGAGGGACCCGTGTCGTCAGACGATCACGTGGTTCATTGGCTGCGCACGCCTGGGCTCGCCACCTCCACCTACTACTACTGAGTAGGAGTACTACGCTTGTTTAGAAAAGATCAAAATTCGTGATTTACAACCAAACTATGTAATTAATTTTTTTTTTATATTTTATAAATATAGATAAAAATAACTAATTACACAGTTTAGTTGGAAATCACGAGATGAATCTTTTTGATCACGATTGGACAATATTTGCCAAATAAAAAAAACTTAAAATTTGGGGTTCAATTTTTTCAAAGTGAACGAGGTACTAGTATGTGTGGCCGTTGCTCGCCTGCTCGGCTCATCCGCTGAGCGCCTGAGCCTGAAGTCCTTGGACCCTGTGAGAAATGGCCTGTGCACTGAACCCCAAGCAGATTCGCCTGTTGGGGGACAGAGCGCCGAGAAACCTGCTCCACCGTGAGCCGTGACCATTTTCTCACCAAAAGGCTGCCAAGAATACAACGGATGGACCGGATCACCACTCAGAAAAGGTTCGAGTGTTCCTGTGCTCAGCAGCCAGCGCTTTGTGGTTTTGTGGAGCGCACCGGGTGGCCTGGATCGAAGTGGTTTTGACACGTACCATGCTTTTGTTCTCAAGTTTTGGAAAACGTACCATTTTTTTTGCTTTCTTAAGAGTGTTTGGTTGATGGAATATTAACCGGGTACTGATTCTTTGCTGAGCATTTTAAGAGTGTTTGGTTGATGGGATATTAACCGGGTACTGATTCTTTGCTGAGCATTTTAAGAGTGTTTGGTTGATGGGATAACACCCTCAACCGGGTACTGATTCTTTGCTGAGCATTTTAGAGGGTTTGGTTGATGGGATATTGAGTAGTGGTTTCATCTAAAAAGTTACAGTAGGTCTCAAAATAGTGAAGTTACTATTAATCCAACCCAAACATATTTTTATCGTTCCACTCTCTTTCATCTCTAGTTTTTCTTCGTAAATTTATGGTTCTTGTCTTCTCTTTTCTAGGTCTATCGTAGTTTTTGCAAGTATCCCTTCCATTTATAGGACATCTGCTTTTTTATCCGAACCTAGTTAGCTCGACGATGTACACACCAAAACGCCCTACGTTGGGGGTGCTTTGAGAGCCTAGGTCATGCGCAATGCCACAACCACGACTGCCACACCTCATCAATCCTCCTGCTTGGTTGATGGCACATGTTCAAAGGCCCCGGCTTTTTCACATAGTAAAGTTCGGCACAGATATGGCGCCACCACAATCACGGTGGCAAAACGAGCCCGGGAATCAAACACGCTATTAATTAATAGTAAATGCAACAATAACTCCCACGAGCAACCTACGAACTCCAAGACAATCAATCGGAGAAGCGGTAGAGGCCTTGTTCGACTAGCTGAAAAAAATGACTGATGCTGATACTGACGTTGATTTGTTGTGAGAGAAAAATACTATTATTTTATTGAAACGATATGGCTGATAAGTTCAAACGAACAGGGCCCTCTCTCTCTCTCGACAAAAGAGCAGCCGCCACAAAGCAGAAAGCGCTCACACGTTTCGGACACCAATGTACTAGCATCCAGACAAACGAGTCGCCACGCCACAGCGCCAGGCTAACATATACAGTACGCGCAGAGCGTGTGATCCATCGATGCCCCAAATCTAGACGGCTCGACTTGATCCGAAGCCAGGCCCAACTACCATTTCGTTTTTCTGGAGCCTAACTTGGCCAGCGCTCTGGCTCCGTCGCGTCACATCCCGGTCACCAACGCGGAGGTCTGGGGGAGGCTCGACGACGGAGGCTCGATCCGAGGAGGACGACGACGCCAGCGTGCTCCGGTCACCAACGCGGAGGCTCCCGCGGCGCTCGATGGCGAGCTCGCGAGGTGGCCCCTTCGACGGCGAGCTCCCGCGGTGGCAGGGCGGGGTCCCGCGGGCGTTGAGAAAGACCGTTTTCCACCAGGGGAAGGGCGCAAGACAAGGCAAGGCAAGCTGCTCCTCCCCTTCGACGGCGAGCTCCCGCGGTGGTCGCGAGCTCGATTCGCTGCTGCCGTGCTCGCGAGCTCGATTCCCCAGCAGACGGAGGGGAGCGGACTCACCACTCGCATGGAGGAGGCGATCGTCCCGCCGGCATGGGCTCTGCTGGCTATGCGTGCTTTGCTGCACACCTGTAGATTAGTATTGGATGTGTTGGGGATTTGGATTTTAGTGAAGTTAGATTGGATGCATGTACTAATAATTAAGATTGGATTGGATAGGACTGATTTTAATTAGATATCAGTTGGATTCCAATGATCGGAGATTGATGGATTAATCTCAAAGGAAGGCGCTCACCATGTGTTGATGAATTGTCTCAAAGGGGTGAAGTTACTTGCACAGAGAAGATGTGACTCTATCCAAAGCTAAACCAGCCCACCAAACAAACAGCCCACCAAACAAACTACATGCTAGTCAGGCTTAGATAGTGTAAGCAATCAAACAAGTATATCTTAGCTTGTTAGAGACAGTCTTAGGCTAACCTAGATTATTTCCTAGTCAGGCTAGAAGTAAGCCAGGTAACAAACAGACCCTAATTAACCAACTGATCAGGGCTCGCTCCAAAGATGCAGGACTGGGTCACTGGGGGATAGCTGGACGACGAAGCAGCAAACCAATCAGCCGAATCATTTGACAGTTCAATGCTGGTACAGCAGGAACAGGCTCTCTAGCCTCAACTAAACTGATGAATAGCGAACCAAACAGCAATATGAAATGACACGTGCAGGTCCAGTTGTTGCAAATGGAAGGAAAATTTTCGAGTAATATACAGACGCCGGGACAGCCGGACTCGTACCGTGAAATGCAAGGAAGGATCAGGAGATTGCTTACTTCGGATCGCTGCACTCGCGCATGTTTGCATGTCTTTATCCTGCCAGCGAGATCATGGAAGCTGAGGCGCAAGGCTGTTGTAAAATACCAAAAAGGTGAAAGGGATTGTGGCTACATACATCATTGGCATACGTACTGCGATTGAGTGCGTTAAATTATTGTTAACAGCCTAAAAGCTGAACCAGCGTAGTACCGGATACATCTGGGTACTCGGCTGGCTAGAAAAAACGGCCGAAGCTGATACTGATTTGTTGTGAGAGAAAAACATTATTATTAACGGTACGGCTGATAAGTTCAAGCGAACAAGGCCTGCTATCATACCTCCCAGAAAACATGGGGTAGATACAGTGATAGAAGTGTACAAGCCCCTCTCGAAGAATACTTGGCAGGGTAATCGATTTTCTTTTCCAAGGTGTGCATGAAATGTACTTTGATGCTGATGCTTGGAAGGTAGAGAACCCTTTTTTCTCTTCTCGGATGTGGATCTCTGACCAGAAAGGAAAAAGAGATGTGACCTCCCTGTGCTGTGCAAGTTATTCAGAGATAGACCAGTGAACCAAGATCAACCGCCTTCCTATGCCTTGCTAGGTCAAGTATCCCCGGTACAAAAGTAACCTTGCCCAACCGTGATTTACACTTCTTGACGAGTGCTGTTATGGTACAGAAAGCACTCTTTGTCATTACACCTGCATAGAGATTGTGAAGAATTAAGATTAAAAAATGTGCATAAAAGGTCAGTGTTACTGTGACAAATACCTAAAATGTGCACCAAGAAAACAAGACAGTATACCTTGTATGCAATACAAACCTTGCCTGAACCCTTCAGAAATCATCTTTTCTTCTTTTTTTCTCTGACCAAGTTGGCCCATATATTAGCAAGTTGGTCCTACCGAACCTCCTGTCAGCTATCTGCAGCATTTGGGATCATGCTTAGCATTACATCAAATCAGGACTTAAATGGAATCAAAGCAGAAGGCAAACCCACCTTTATAAGGTTTCCGCAGGATTCAGCCATATCTGTTTTCAGTGGGTACTCAACTAGCTAATAACATAGATGAAGTCAGAAATGTGCATAGGGAAAGGTAGTTTAGTTTACATAGCATGAGGAACTCACGATGAAGCAATCTTTTCCAACCAATGGTGACCTTGCAAGTTGGGACGAGTAGTGTGCTATAGTTGACCTCCAGATATGGTGGTGTTACACTAATATAATCAAAGGAAGGATATTTGCCTGAGAGATATAAAGAGAAAAATCTGTTAAAGAATCCAAATCACCCCGTTGCTATGACTTATTATACGAATTTTATCAGTTAAGTCACTATGCTTAAAATATAAAGGTGCAATTGTTTGTTGGATGCTAAGCAGACATTCTACCCCTTACAATACGATATACAGATCACTGCTAATAATCTAATATGTAGCTAAATAACCATGACAAGGTATTTCCGCATTTGCATTTCCTGCACATCTTCGTTCTACTGAGCTTTTGGCATTCATCCATGAATCACTGAATTCCATCTAAGAACAATGTTTACATAAACTGCAGTTTTCACGTCAAATATCAATATGAATAAAATAATCCATAATTTTCCTAACAAATATCAGTATATTAGTTTCTGTACGATATTTGATCATAGAATTTTATTGTACATTTGTTCACTCACAGCTGTCTGTTAATCTCATTGACCATACCGCAATAGTCATATGTGTTTTTTTAAACAAATAGTCATATGTGTTTCCTAAGAAGATTCCTACCTTGAGATTTTTCAGCATTGGTCAAGAATTTTTCAACATGGAGCATATGTATGTGTGACACATCAATAAATCCAGTACACTCCAGATTTGGTTTGAGGACCTCAGAGATGACCCAAGGATCCATCTCAACAAAATGTGCCTAGAATAAAAAAAAAGACAAACAAATCAATGAATATATTGCATTACTTCTCGTTCACATCACTCACCAAATCCAATTTCAGAATTAGCAGCTTCATGAAGGTTTTATACACTTTTTATTTGTCATCATTTGAAATCAATCTCATAGCTATAAGACTAGATAACAAAAAACGTCCAACCTAGGAGTTACTAGGTGTCACTGTAAATAAGAATAGGCAACCAAAATTCAAGTGGGCAAGGACTCAAACTTAAGTGGTGGGGTTGTAGGAGTTACTACTGAGGAAGACTCAGCCCGTTGTAGGAGTTACTACTGAGGAAGACTAAGCCCATTTCCTAAAATAGACCCTCATGCAACAATCATGGGAAAATCCATGGAAGAAGACTTCCGCCTACTCACACACACCTAGCTACGTTTCTTAACTATAAGACTAGACAACCCTTCAAAGATCATCATGAATATTGAACATAAAAATACACTGCACTTGATGTGCTTGTGTGCATGAATGGTGAACAGTTGGCATGTATGCAGTAGTCCTTACTTGGATATACAAAAACATCATAAGTAATTTATCTTAATGACCATATTGGTTTTTCAGGATCTGCATATACTGATTGCTTCATAAGAAATTTCACATGCTACCATCAATGATGTACACTGTAAGGGCCCATAAAGATGTTAAAAAGGAGGTGTTAAAGAAATACTTATGTACCACGCACAGATCAGTATTATTTTGCACACCAAGTCTTATTTTCCACTAGAGGATCCCCTCCCCAATGAAATTTCCATAGACATATTCCATGAGCTTATTAGAATTGTGATGGTAAAACTAGAAGAGATAATTAGATGAATGGGTGTTTTGAGGGATTCTCTGCATTCGTATCTAGACTATCATGACTGAAGTTTCAGCATGAGTTTTGGACGACCTCTGAACATCCTCGGCTCATAGCTTCAATTCCAACGGATCCAGTACCACTATATAAGTCTAGCCACCGACCTGGTCTGAGTGAAGCAGGAGAACCACCAGCTGACTGCAAGTTATGGTCATGAGTCAATGACGGTATACGAGTAAATCAAAAGGGAAACAATGATTAAAGCGACATCAACAAATCCAATAGATGGATACTTGTAAAATGTCAAAGGCTGCTCCTCGGACAACTTCCATCATTGGACGGACATTCCTATCTTTGGGTGAAAGTAATTTCCTTCTGCGGACTTTTCCACCTAGCACCTGAAAGAAACATACATACTTTGAGTACCAAAAGTAGCTCATTTCGAAATAACCACTTAACTAGGTTTCGAACAATTAAAGAATAATTCCAGCACACAAACCTGTTTACTGGTTTAGACATTAAAATGTTGTTCCACAAATCTGGCATTACACTGGGACAAGCAACAAGCAGATTCTTTTTATTTGGAAAAGCATTTCAGGTTTGTTGGAATGGAAACAAGCAGAACCTTTTTATTTGGACAAGCACAATAGCACATCAACAGGTGGACACCCTTTTCTCAGAAGCTGCAACTTTACTTCACGGAATGACAAGATGGGAGAGAAATTGCTTTCTTTAGCCACGTACACGAATATAATATAAGTGTACAGGCCAATACAACATGCCTGCATCAAGCCCAACAGTTTGTATGGCTCATATATAAATATAAATCACTATAAGGTCCATGGCATGTGATAGGAGCCAAGATGCATCACTTTTACCAGCTCAAATTTGATAGTATTATTTGCTTAAAGAAAGGGGCAACATGTGCTAGTTAAATAGAGAGATACTGATCAATATTACTATTTATCCAGTCTATCAATCACAACATAGCAGACACTTGAAGCAGCTTTTAGATTTCTCTAAAGCTTAATCCATGTCTCTAGCACCATTAAAAAAATGGCTGATCAATTATATAGCTCATGCGGGACACTGAACTACAACAAATACACGCTGAGCTTCAGATGGATCGGGTCTAAAAGCAAAATCCCTTCCACCTAGATCAATTAGTGCAGGCTGTGCAAGTCAAACTATCTTAATCCACGTCGCTAGCACCATTGAAACAAATGGCTGGTCAATTACATAGCTCATAGGGGACTCTAAATTACATGCCCTACACACTGATCTTCAGATGTTTTGGGTCTAAAAGTGAAGCCCCTTGCACCTTAATGAATCAATGGAGGCTGCGTGCAAATGAATGTGACAGACATGCAAGTCTAAATGATAAGCACTAAATGGAATCGTATTTTTGTGTGATTCTGAAGAGTACTAGATAGATTGATATAACTGCTGACATTACGTTACACGACCAAAACAAAGGAACAGTTTCCGTCCAAACCTGAAGCATTTTGTGAGTCTCCCGAGGCTCCGCCGCCTTCGCTGGAGTAACTGCAGGCTCCGCAGTTTGCTCCCCTCTCCCCGACTGCCGCCGCCTCCGTCTGTCCCTCCTCTCTTCCTGGGGGAAAAACACTCAAAATCACACCAATCCGCAGCGCGCAGCGCCAATCGTTACGACTAAGTTCAAACTAATTCAAACGAACCCTTGGATCCTCCTCTGCATCTTCCTCGAAGTCGTCTGGGTTGAGCCCGTAGCGCTCCAGGAAGCGCCTGCGCTCCCTCGCCGCCGCCGCCGCGGCGCCCGACGGTGCCGCGGAGGCTGCAACGGGAAGGCGGCGAACGGGGGTTCGAACGGATACGTGCTTAAGCTTAGCAGGGTCCCGGGCCTGAAGTCCGGGAAGAGACGGACGGAAGGGGGAGGCTGGCAGAGTGGAGGACGCCATCGGCGAGGAGTAGCGCGAGCACGGGCGCGCCCGATCCCTCTCTCTCCCGGACCAGAAGGGATAAGAGAGGTTTCCTTGCTGGGAATCAGAACTAATCACCGTTCATCTGTTCTTGACTGCTCGATCGTATCTGGACGGTCAAGGTGAGGAAAGCGGATACTGTCCCAATGAGACTGGGCCATACATGTCAGTGAGCAGGGTGCCTCTCTCTTTCACTCGTTCGCTCCCGTCCTGTGTCCCCGTATCGATCGCATCACGCTCTGTAACCGTTGCAATCCTTGGGAGAAATCATTTTTTTTCAAAGGAGAAGGGGGAAAAAATCATCTCATAGCCGTTGTCCTGCACCGCCTCCCTCCCCGGCCACCGCTTCGCCCAACGGCTCTATTCCCGTGCACCCCGCTCCACGTTGACCGTTGCGAGTTTAAAGCCTCCCTTCCTCTCACATCTCGTCCCCCGCCCCTGATCGCTCTTCCACTTCCCCGCCGATTCGTTCCACCACCGCGAAACCCTAGCCCTACACAGAGAGAGCGGGAGAGGCAATCCAGAGATCGGCACCATGAACGACCTCATGACCAAGTCCTTCATGAGCTACGTCGACCTGAAGAAGGCGGCGATGAAGGACCTGGAGGCGGGAGGCGACGGGATCGAGCTCCCGGAGTCAGGCGCCGGCGGCGTCACGGACGAGCGCCTGCGCGGGTTCTTCGAGGAGGCGGAGGCGGTGAAGGCGGAGATGGCGGCCATCCGCGACGCGCTCGACCGCCTCCACGCCGCCAACGAGGAGGGCAAGTCCCTGCACCAGGCCGACGCCCTCCGCGCGCACCGCGGCCGCGTCAACGCCGACATCGTCGCCGTGCTCCGCCGCGCCCGCGACATCCGCGCCAGGCTCGAGTCCCTGGACCGCGCCAACGCCGCGCAGCGGAGGCTCTCCGCGGGGTGCCGCGAGGGCACGCCGCTGGACCGCACGCGCACCGCCGTCACCGCGGGGCTCCGGAAGAAGCTCAAGGACCTCATGCTCGACTTCCAGGCGCTGCGCCAGCGGATGATGTCCGAGTACAAGGAGACCGTGGAGCGGCGCTACTACACGCTCACGGGGGAGGTCCCCGAGGAGGAGGTGATCGAGCGCATCATCTCCGACGGCCGCGGCGAGGAGCTCCTGGGCGCCGCCGTCGCGGAGCACGGCAAGGGCGCCGTGCTCGCCGCGTTGCACGAGATCCAGGACCGCCACGACGCGGCGCGCGAGGTGGAGCGCAGCCTCCTGGAGCTCCACCAGGTGTTCCTCGACATGGCCGTCATGGTGGAGATGCAGGGGGAGAAGCTCGACGACATCGAGAGCCACGTCGCCAACGCCTCCCACTACGTGCAGGGCGGCAACAAGGAGCTGGGCAAGGCCAAGGAGTACCAGCGGAGCAGCCGCAAGTGTCTCTGCATCGGCATCATCATCCTGCTGCTCCTCGTCCTGCTCGTCATCGTGCCCATCGCCACCAGCCTCAGGAGGTCTTGATCGAGTTGTGATTGGAGGAACAACGCCCGGGGTTGTGAATTGTGAAAAAAAATGAGGTGTTCGAATTCAATCCGTTGGGTGGGTGGGTTCTAATGATCAGGACACTCTGCGGTTGTGTCTCGTGTTGTTTGATTTCGTGTTCGTTAATTTGAGCCTGAATGTTTCTGTATCCATCACATTTAGCTGATGATACCATCGGTAAATTGCAATTCCTATCTCTAAAACTCTTACTGGGTTGTATTGTGTTGATATGAGATTTGGTGAATCAACTTAGCACTTGGCAGTTCAGATTTAAAATTCACATTACGATGAGATGGATGGTGCTTGTTACTGTTTGGATTCCCAATAGCAATGCCAAATCGTTGCTGTGTACGCTCTTGTCATTTGCTCCTCGACCCAAAATAAGGAAATTTTCCGTTGCTCTGTTTTGTCCTGTTGTTAATTCTCGTCTCTAGGAAATCAAAATTATTGGCTTATTGCTCGCATCTGAATCTGAGAAGTGACTTCCGTTTAGGCTGATACATGTTTTATACGTACTTATGATCTACTGTGGCAGAAAATCTGGAGCTTCCCTGTTAACCGTCCTAATCCAAGTAGGTACTCAGCAGTATTCCTGCTCTAGTGTCCAGTGTTCACTACTTCATTCCAATCTCATCAACCACACGCCCACACACAGCCCTGAAAAAGCAAACAATTAGTTAAGGCCATCAACAGACTCCAGAAGCCCAGACGGCTCGGCCCTGCATCTCGGCCGTTTCCTCATACAGTGACACAGTCCATTCCGCTCTCTGAAGACTTGAGGTGGTCTAATGCAAAGTGCCGACTGGGTTCCAGTGCAAGGTGCAGGAGTAAAAGCAACCTGCCATAATGCAAGAGTGTAGGTCTAGGCCAAAAGCCCATGATCTGCAGCTGTACTTGCTGATTTACTGGATGCATTACCGCCGGTGGCAGACGTAGGGCACTCCTAACGTAAGAAACTATTAACAATTTCTATAGCGTAAGACATCGTGACAAGAAACTATTTTTCTTATTGCAAGATTTTCTATAGTAAATAATATAAGTAGTGATAGAAACCATGATGGCTCTTCCAATGGGCTACGGCTAGTTTCTTGTCCATCGATATCCGTGAAGACCCAGTTTCTTAGATAGATCTGATTTCTTGGATTTTTCTTCTCTCTTCTCATTTAATCACTTGCCACATTAGTAAATTGTCTACGTGGCAGTGCAATTAATATCTATAGAAACTAACATAGTTTCTGCATTGTGAGTGTCCTTATACAACTACAGTGGATGTGGACGCGTTTATATAGGTTGGAAGAAAGTGAAAAATGCTGCTAATGTTTGGGACCACGTGAAAACGTGACACGGATGTCGTTTCCACCATAGCGGCCACTGGCCAGTGGACAAGGGAATGGGCCTCTCTATTCTTTCACACTGTCTGGAAATCAAATGACCGAAGTCTCAAACTCATTCAACTGATGTTAACTACGCCGGAGAAGAATACAGGCCAAGGGCGAGGTTGGGGGAGGGAATTCAGCTTCCAAGTTTGTTCGCTGGGCGCCAGGTTTAGAGGATGCAAGGTTGTTCACCCACGAACCTTTAATCATGCGGATAAAATGAATTCGCTAGCGAGTGAGAAGAGGTGGCAGACGGAGCGCGAGTTCAATTGCTATGGTAGGAGTACAAAGTTTAGTAATAAAAAAGGAAGAAAAAGAAAGAAAGTGTCAGTAATATCACAATCATGGCCCAATGGCTGAGATTTGTTGCTGATAAAAGGCAAAAAAAATACATTCATTCATTAATATATTATTACGGCACTTCTCCTTTATCCACGGAAAGAAAAAGCCTGCTGAAATTTTGGGAGCACAATTGGAGAACAACTGAAGTAAAACATATGTCGGTCAAAGTTGCGTGCTGTTTCGCCAGTGCAGAATTTTTTTTAAAGATACACCAGAAATTTTTGCCCCTCAAAAACAAGACGGAGATTTTCTTCGCAAAACGATCCGAATCTAGAACCGGCAGGCTACCCTACGCCGCCAGGGAATACTCCATCGTACGGAGTACTCTGTACTCGTCAACAATTCGAGCCATAAAAATCACTGATGTCCCAGCCGTGGCCACATGCAGCGGCGCCCACCCCGCCCGTGAAAAACACAGTTCCTGCGTACCGCGTCCTCCCCTCCATTCCATGAGGCGCCCCGGAGCCCCGGACCCGGAAGGCTGGGCCCGACGCGAGGCGCGGCCGTCCAAAACCGTGACGCCCCGTCGCGCGCATGGAACACAGAGCGGATAGGAGGCGGGGCGCGCGGGGCTGGTGACGACGACCCGGTCGCTGAAAAAACAAATTAAAACATCGTTTCTTCTGATTTGTTGTGAGAAAAAAATATTATTTCGACTAAAAAAATGAAAAGCATGATTATAAGCTAACATGGCCGATGGAAGAATGACCGGTGACCACACGGGGATTGGCGGACGCGGCACCTGCCGGATGGGGCGTGTGCGGCTGCCGGGGCCGCATCGTGTGCACGCCAAATTCTCCCGTCCTCTTCCCCTCCTCGACACCAGGTAGCGAGAGCCTACGCAGCAGCTGCTACCTTATCCCCCCCGCTGGCAGCACTCTGGCAGATATTACACCCCCCTGCTGCGCCGCGCAGTCTTCTTCTGCTCTACACCCGTTGTCTGCTTCTTCTCCCCACCCTCACCTCAACTTCCCTGCCGTGCAGTTCCCTCCGATCACCAGCAGCTTGCTGAGCCAAGGTTAGCTCCGTGCCATCGCGTTTCACTGTTCGAGTTCTTGCTGTCGTACATGTTCCTCTTCTTGTGCTTGCTGTTATATCGTATATATAGGAACGGAATAGTAGAACTATAGATGTTTAACTAGTTCATGCGTAGCTGGATTACTGTGTATAAATGAGCGAATCCGATTGTTCTTGCTGAACCTTCGTGGGCAATTGCAAGTTGCTAGCACGCTTTTGCTGATGCCAGCTAGCTCAAATGCTTGGAGAAGCCTAGTTCGATCGATGCAGTCTAATGGTACTGGAATCTGTCCGTGCAGAGCAGCGATGAACATCTTGAACCAGCCCATCAACCCAGGCGGCCACCCGGTGTTCCCGGCGGCCAAGGAGAGCGGGCATCTCACGCCGGCGTCGGTGCGCTTCGACGGAGTGCCGGCGCAGCCGAGCACCGCGGCCGCGGGGCGGCCAAGGTGGCAGGCGCAGACGCTGCGCCGGGCCAGCAGCTACGTCGGCGCCGAGCACGACGGGACCACCGCGTCCGTCCCGGTCCCGGTCCCGGGCGCGGCCCTGGCGCCCGTCCCGTTCAAGCCGATCACGCTCGACTTCCTGCGGTCGCTCGTGGACACGAACTGCAGTATGACCGCCGTCGTCCCGGACGCCGAGGCCAGCGCCCCGCCGCCGCCGCAGATGGTCGCGCTCCGCGTGGTGGTGACCTCCGCCGTGGAGCTGGACGCGCGCCAGACCGAGCTCATCGCGCGCAAGATGCGCCGCCTCACCGGGTTCGTCAACCTCAAGGTCGAGAACGTCGTCGACACGTCCCTGATCGCCGGATTCGTCGTCTGCTACGGTACCGACGACTCGCACGTCATCGACCTCAGCGTCAAGGCCCAGCTCGCTGCGCTCAAGAACCGCGTCGACTCCATCGACCAGACCGTCCACGCCCACGGACACCCACACCACTGCTGATTGATCCAAGATTCCAACACCTGATGCACTACATAGCTTACTATATAAGCCTGTCTCCATGATTATGGTTATGAGACTACTATATACAGAACCGAACGCCATGGCAACAACAGTTTTCCTATCTAATGTTGTTGTATAAATGGCGAAAAACTTAGCTGCTACCTTCTTCCTGAGCCTATGTGTTCTAATGCTAAAAAAGCAAACGTTATTGTATATATGATCCATGCGGAAACACTAAACAGCGGCTTCTATGGTGTAAAGTCTAATATGCTGTTGCTAGGTTGCAGTTTGTATATGGAGGTTCAGGGTTGCAGCACTGTAATGTACGCAATCCATGAGAAAGATGGCTAAATGCGATTGTACTAAGGATCAAAGAAATGGTATTTTATGAGATGCAGCTAAAGCTTTTATCTCTATTTTCTCAGCGCCGATCAGATTAGCGACACAAACACATCAGGATTTTTCAGTGTTTCTCTTATTCAAGAAAATGAGATCAAGATAAAAGGAAGTCACAGTTCATCACGAACGAAGTACAGTAGTCGCAGTACGGCCGAACCGAAGCCTGATCTGATCAGCTGCGCTGGTGGCCGTTGATATCGCGGTGCTGCAGGGCCTCGTAGAGATTCTTGAGGGCCTTGTCGTAGTTCACGAACCCCATGAACCAGAACTCGTGGTTATCCGTGGTCGTGATCTGAATGTACCTCTCCGCCCGGTTGCGCATGCTGGAAGAAGGGTTCACTGACATCACTTGGCTCAGGGGAAGCACCACCTGCAGGTCCACACGGTGCCATTTTTTGTTCTGTCAGTCTAGGACTCGCATGGAACTGAAGAAGTTGCAGGTAATGAACTGAGGGCCTGTTTGATTCCAAAAAATTTTGCGCAGTACCTGTCGCATCGAATCTTGCGGCGCATGCATGGAGTCCTAAATGTAGACGAAAAAAAAAACTAATTGCACAGTTGGATGAGAAATCACATAACAAAACTTTTGAATCTAATTAGTCTATAATTAGACACTAATTACCGAATACAAACGAAATGCTACGGTAAGCGACTGAACTTCTGAAGGCGACTGAAAGGCAGGCTGCGACTGAACTTCTGAAGGCGACTGAAAGGCAGGCTTCCACAGTTCCACTTACCTTGTAGTACATGCACTCTTGCTGCTGGCCGGCAGGGCCCTGGTAGCAGAGCGGGCTGTCGCTGCAGAAGGCGAGGCGCGCCGTGGAGAGGTAGAGCGTGCCGATGACGGGGCCCGAGGAGGTGGAGAGGTAGCAGGCGTAGGCCTTGCGGAGCTGCTCCCCGGGCATGGCGCCGAACGTCTGGAAGAACACCCTGTCGTGGCCGCCCTCCGCGTACACCTTGGTCCCCTGCGACAGCCGCGCCACCGCCGCGTCCGCCATGTTCGGCGCCGTCCGGACTGTCCACCAAGGAAGCAGCAAATCACACATCGGAAGCCACATGGCGTATCAGTGTATGCCGATTGACGAATCGATCAGAGAGAGAGAGAGAGAGAGGATCAAAGCATGGGGCACGCACGGTGGTGCCAGATGTTGCCGGTGGCGTCGGCGGCCTTGCGGGTCCCGTCCTCAAGCAGCTTGCCGTAGCGGCACAGCGCCTTCCTGACGGCTGCAACGCATCCCATCCAAGCGAACAAACACGTAAGCGAGCCGACGGATGTCTCTTAACTTGAAGGGGGCGCAAAAGATGAGCGAGAGCAGATTCAGGCGCGTACTCTGGCAGGTGGAAGGTGTCGCGGACGCGGGGGTGACGAACACGTAGGGGTTGCCCACGCCGTTGCTCGTCGCCGTCACGGCCACGGCCGTGGCGGCCTGTGGCGGCGGCGTGGCCAGCTGCTGGTTGCCGTACGCCTGCCCGTGCCCGGCCGGGTAGCCCGGCGGCGGAGCAGCCCACTGCGATGCCATCTATTCACTGGTGGATTGGATGGAACGGGAGGGGTCGAGAGTCGAGACGTCCGCCGGCACTGTGGATCGATTTGATCAGGGTTCAGGGGAGGAGAAGAGCGGGGCGATCTGGTCTTGCGGAACGGAACTGCAGGTGGTTTGCTTTCTTTTCGTGCGGAATCGGAGGTTGCCACTCCAGGCCTCTCCAGCAGCCAGTGGCGAGGAGAAGGTTCTGTGCCGCGATTCCTTCACTCTACGGCTCCACCCGAGGAAGGCAAGAAAGGGAAAGGAAGGGGGAGCGTGCACTGCAGCTCGGTCGACGAGGTGAGGAAGACAAGTGGAATATTTTTGGGGTTCGCAGCGTCCGGCCGTGCGCGTTCGTCTGCCGCAGCCGCACCGAATCCGCTGGGCGGTGCACCAAATCACCGGCGCGCGGATCGATGCCCACGCCGGCGCGGCGCCTTCCTGGGGAAGGAAAAGGAAAGGCTGACCGAGAAGTTACGGGTTGTCTGGCCCAACAGGAGCGGCATCGGGTTTTGGTCAGCCCTGGGCTGATGGTTGTGGGCTTCTGGCCCAGGAGAATTGAGCCTTGTCGTGCTTACTGCTGCTGGAACAGGAAGTAGGGAACAACTCTATCTATTATCCGTGCGGTGCTACAGGTAACAAAAAAAACTATATTAATTATGATGCAAAAAATCTAAATTAATTTATTTTTTTGTATAATAATTATGCAGCCTCTCGAAATGCTCCCTTCACACATGCATGTTTCGTTGTCTCACCCCTCAATATCAGTAGCCCAACGATATCTTCGGGAAAAAATTGACCATAGAAGATATGAGCGTAACAAATTCAGAATCTCCAATATACCGGCTGTCCAGTGCAATACCATTGCTACAAATTAAGAGAATTTGGAACAATGCTCGCTTGCAAATCTTCACAGACCATATCAGATAACTGAAGCAATTTTGTCATTTTTCTATCAAGAGTGCGCTAGTTTCACAACCCACAAAGCTACATTCAATATTCTGAGTTTTGTAGACTAGTGGACAGGACACCTGCCGTATGTAAGTGTCTATAGTTGTGATATACGATGGAAGATAAAAACAAATAGTGTAGTTAAATTTAAAATAGTTTTTTTAATAAAATTTAGAAATAGTTTGACTTAGGACAAAAATAAGGATGTATGTAGTATATATCAAGCATAGCTTCACTATGTAGAGGTAGAGCTCACCCTTAGAAAAAAGTATATATAAGTTTTATTTTTTTCTAAGCTAATAAATTAGCTTCACTTTTTGGGATGTATGTAGTATATATCAAGTATAGCTTCACTATGTTAGGCAAGACGAGCTCACTAAGAAATCAAGCATACCTTAGTAGCTCCAATGGTTAATGCCCCATAAGTTTGGCACTCTGAAGATATGGACACAGGGGCAAAGCTACGTTGTAACTATGAGGTGCAAATGGACCTCTTTTTTTTTGGAACTCTCACTTCATTCATTAAACAACGTTATTACAATCGAATTGCAGACATTGTGTCGGGTACCTTAGGACGGAGTACCCCGAGCGAACATCAAAGGGGTCACTTAAGTCCCATCAAAATACAAAGCTAAAAGGTAAGCCGTGGGCCCCTCACCCGCCACGTCCGAGCCTGCCAGGCTCTCCGCCTCATCTCGAGCCTCGCGCAGAAGGTCTCGGCTTCCTGACGCAATCTCCGCCTCGCGCGAGGCTCTCCACGAAAGGCCTCGGCGGGGAACACAATCTCCGCCTCGCGCGAGGCTCTTCACGGAAGGCCTCGGCAAGGAGTCCGATCTCCATCTCGCCGCGAGGCTCCGCCCTCCGTCTCACGTAAGGCCTCATTCTCCGTATTGCGCGAGGCCAGGTTATCCATAGTCCGTCGCCCCCGCTTCGACCGACCCTCCTGACAGCACGTCATGTCCCATTAATACTTCAACCACTCCCGCAATCTCAACCCGGACGACGGCTTGACACCACTGTAATGACCGACGGGACTCGAGGTCGCATCAACGCCATACTAAATTTTGGGGACAGGCGTGGCGAGGATTACCGCCATCGTGTTTACGACATCGTGCCCACGATCAGCGCCCACACTGCACTGTGCCCCGCGATCCCCGCCTAGAAAACAACATCGCGCGGACTACTTGGCCCGGGTAATCACCGCCTCCAAGCCGGTGAGCTGGACCGGCCGCCTCTCGGAACCTCGGCACTATACACCAAGGTCTCGGCTATCTCGGGGTTCGTGCTCGCCGAGACCCCCACTGTGGTGCAGCCTCGGCACTGACCGAAGCCTCGGCCTCACACACCGCCAATCCACAGCGATCCATGTGTCTCGCCACCGCACCTGCTCCGAGGTAGCCTAGAAGCTCCCATAATGCACAGGGTCGGACGTGACCAGCACGTCGCCCCAGTGCTCCAAGGACGGACCACTCCGACGACCATGCCGCCACAAGAACAGGCCACAGGGCTCGGACACACCGCCTCTGTTGGCACGACGTCGTATAGTCAGCACATGTACTGTCCTTGTCCTCCCTTCAACTATAAAAGGAGAGGACTTGGGCCCCTTAGGAAAGAAAAAAGAGGGAGAACACCTGGTAGCTCACACACATACACATCCCAGCCGCCTGAGAGCAACGTCTCAAGCAGCCCACACGACACCTCGCCGAGACCTAGGATTAGCTCCCTCTCTCCCTGTGCTTGTAACCCCCTACTACTAGCACTTCGGTGCAAGGAATACAAGATCGATCTCTCAGACTGGACGTAGGGCATCGATTGCCTGAACCAGTATAAACCTTGTGTCTCTTTGCATCACCATCCGGGATTAGGGGCACGCAGTTCAAATTCACTAGTTGGTAGAGGACCCCCGGTCCGAAACACCGACAGTTGGCGCGCCAGGTAGGGGCATCTGCGTGTCAGTTTCGTCATCCCAACAAGTTCCGGATGGCAGACCCCGTACGACCGTTATGTCTCGGCATGGTGATCTGGTTCAGGGGCCTAGAGTTTATGTCTTTGGGGCATGAGTACGACATGGTACTCCTCACGCCCTGAGCCCCACCAACCGACGGCGACGTCACGCACCGGCAGCCCAGGCGCAGGCGGCGGCTCTCGCCGTGCTCGCCAGGCACGACGCGAGCAAGACCACCCCGATGCTACTCGAATCCAGGACAGCACGTCGCTCCCCGCCGACATCCTACGACCAGCTGTTGGCATAGGCTCCCTGGCTGGGGACCTGTCTAGCCTGAGCTTGGATGAAGGAAAAATGCCGGTGGCACATGGCGACGCCCAGTCACCAAGCCCCACTCCACCACTCCCTGAAGAGCCAGTTTCGGCGGAGCAAAGTCCGGCGACGGCACCATCCTCATACCCCTTTGGGTTGAGAAATGCCGCCACCTCTTATGCTTACGCTTACGCCGCCGCTCACAAGGATCCCCCAGAACGCCGCCAGCGCTTCACTCTCGACCTGGGCACCCACGCCGACTCCTCGGAGGGGGACGAGGCATGGCCCGGAGTGGATTTCTCTGGACTCCACGACCCTAGGGCTATGCACCGTTTCCTGGCCGCAAGCGACTACTGCTTCGGCTACTCCGACTCCGACAACAAGACAGGCCGAGCCCTGCTTTGGGACTTGCACATAGGTGCTTGCGGGCACCATGCGGCGCCTCGGACGCTCGTGGGGAACGCTTTCCGCCAAGGGTTCTACTGGCCGATGGCGGTCGCCAACGCTACCAAGCTAGTACGCTTCTGCGAAGGATGCCAGTACTATGCTCGGCAGACACATCTCCCGGCCCTGGCCCTGCAAACCATCCCCATCACGTGGCCGTTCGCCGTGTGGGGGCTCGACATGGTCGGGCCTCTGCAAAAGGCCCCCGGGGGCTACACCCATCTACTGGTATCAATCGACAAGTTCTCCAAATGGATCGAGGCTCGTCCGATCAATCGAATCAAATCCGAGCAGGCAGTGCTGTTCTTCACTAACATTATCCACAGATTTGGAGTCCCTAACACCATCATCACTGACAACGGGACACAATTCACCGGCAAAAACTTCCTGACGTTTTACGACGACCACCACATCCGTGTGGCCTGGTCGGCCGTAGGACACCCAAGGACCAACGACCAAGTAGAGCGTGCCAACGGCATGATCCTACAAGGCCTCAAGCCAAGGATTCACAACCGGTTGAAAAAGTTTGGCAAGAAATGGCTCGTCGAACTCCCATTGGTCATCTGGAGTCTGAGGAACACTCCAAGCCGAGCCACGGGGTTCACGCCTTTCTTCCTGGTCTATGGGGCCGAGGCCATCCTCCCCACTGACTTGGAATATGGTTCTCCGAGGCTACAAGCCTATAACGAACAAAGTAACCGCACCACCCGAGAGGACGCCCTCGATCAACTGGAGGAAGCCCGAGACGTCGCGCTACTACACTCGGCCAAATACCAGCAGAGCCTACGACGTTATCAGGTCCGATGCGTCCGAGGCCGAGACTTGAAGGTAGGCGACCTGGTGTTGAGGCTAGCACAGAGCAACAAGGGCCGCCACAAGCTGACCCCGCCATGGGAAGGGCCGTACATCATCGCCCAAGTACTGAAGCCCGGGACCTACAAGCTAGCCAACGAGAAGGGCGAAGTCTTCACCAACACTTGGAACATAGAACAACTACGTCGCTTTTATCCCTAAATTTTCAAGCATTGTATATGTCATTTCTCGAAATACAATTAAAAAGCGTTCTTTAGTTGGTCTAATATTTCAAGAAACCCCCCGAGCCTATCGTAGGTCTCGGCAATACAGTAACACGACAAGGGAGGCTCGGCTCTGCCTCGGCAGAACCAAGCCTCCCTCGGGGGCTAGATGGGGGACTCCCCCTAGGTCCCACGCACCATTCTTCAGTCGTTTTTTGCAAAAATTCCTACGCCAAGACTCTAGCATGCTCTGACGAATCGGTTGTAAAAACCCCTCAGACCAAGGTCTGTTTCCTGAGCAAGAGGCCGGTAGAGTCGCGAGACGGCCG